AGTCCAATTGGCCTCGTTAGGAAAACTAATGCTGACTCTCAAGGAAAATATCCTCTTCTCAGTTTCATCCCATTACTTCTACCTGTAACACATTGGACAACCGAGAGCAGTTTGTATCCTCCTGAGTGTTTACATGGTTTTAAAAATGTGTTAATATATCGCACATTAAAAATACTGCATTTATGGTTATAAAAATCTAAAGACAACTGAAGTCCATGGAAAGACTCCAGTTAACTTCAAGAGACCTTGGATTAAGCCCTTAGAAAATAAGATTTTTCAAATATTCCTAACTACAGTCACCTTTCTGATAAAGAAATGCATTCTGTGGTCACCGTGAAATCAGAAAGTGATACACTTCTGTGTAAGCATTAGAACTTTAAAATTATTAGCAGCATTTGACTTGAGATGACGATAGTGGTGACTTACTATGTATAAATGGATGTATTAGAAATAAATAACCCAGTCAATTAATCATCAGTTTTAAATTAGTTTTTACCATATTTACCTCAAGTGAAGTTCCAATAATCTTATCTAGCATTACTATAGGTAAGAGTTAATAAGCGTCTCCTCTGAGTTCAAAACAAATAGTGTTACCACATTAACATGAATTACTACAAATTGGCTTTTGACTGGAACACCATTGCCTATGTCATTATATAAACTATTGCTCTAGATTTGTTTCCAGCCCGTGAGAATGATAAAATCTCCTGTTAGCAGTTTGAGTGCTCCTGAGATACTGAAAGTAATTTGGGGTAGATTTCTCAATATGCTGTGGCTCTTTAGTTTCCATTAATTAAAGTAAAGGGTGCTTCTTAAAGTGTTTGCAGAAAATACGTGACAAAAGCAACTTGCATTAAAATATTTTAACTGTGAGACTATTATGTTTTCACTTCAGCTGCAATTTAAGGGGAAGTGATGTGATATATCCTTACAGCTTATAGTTTTATGATCTGACACATTCTTGTTATTTATAAACTCTTTCTGCTGGGACCTGATTTGCATAATTTCTTTTGTAAACTATTGCCATGGAATTTTCTCCTTGTATATGCATTTCCATTTTCATTAAAGTGATGAAATTGCTCAGAAAGCATTTGGGTAACTACCATAGATATTCCATTCATGCAGTTCCAAATACAGCTCTTTATGTAGCAGCAGGCTGTATAGTTGTTATTATTAACATATTTTCTTAGTAAAGTGGTAGATGATTGCATTAGAATGACTACATTAATAGTACTTCATAGTCTAACCTATTGGCCTTGCATTCGTTTTATTTATTTACATATCTTGATGTGTCAGCCTTCAGCAAGTGCAAATATATATCTCTATCTGTAGCTAATGGGTTTCTTCTGGGTGCCATGTGCCACCTCATTATAGAGAAGATAAACAAAGCACAGGATCATACCTGCCCAAGTTTCTACTAACATTTAGTTTCTAATGTTGTGTTTTCCTATTCTTGTGACACGGAATCAGCTTTTCTTGAAATAGTAATTCCGGTCCGTTACTGACGTTTCTAAAGAGAGCAGATCAGTGGCCCCAGCAGAAGGAGGTTTTTAATGACGTGTTTTTCCCCATATACTTTATGTTTATTCCATTCTGTCAAAAGTAGGAGGACACATTTGGAGAAAAACTGTGATAGAATGAAACATCCAAGCCTCTTGGTGGTGATGCCTATGGGAATCAGTAGGTTGGTGCATGCCGGTAGATATATCTACACGATGATAAAACAAAGTAACATCTTTATTTACTGTGAGGAAAAAAATCATAAGCAAGCAGTGGACTATTCTTTGATGGGCAGCTGCAGTGCAGACTGAAAGGAACAAAAAAACCAATTACAGTATTGTTTGCAACAAGACATTTTAAAGTAATAATCAGCTTGTATTCATTACTATGCACCTGCAAATGAAATAAGAGTAACAGTGAAAGAAGCAAATGTGTGCTAATGAAACCATAGGACATTGTCTGAGCAATTCCATGATTTCATGGTGATGCAAATGCAAAGGAGGTGACCATGCAGGGGTGGATGGGAGAAGGCTATGCAATCACCAGGTGCTAGGATATTAAATATATCAAAAATCATTTGCTCACCATTTAAGGAACCATCAACTTACACACAAGGATAGTCTTCCAGTGCAATTAACAATCTTCCATGAACATCACACACTGTACATTGCCTGAATCAAACTGAACCTTTACCCATTAGTGAGGAATGCATGAAACTGTTTATAGTGTAAAAGTTTGCCAAAAAAAAAAAAGTAGGGGATGTTGTTTTTCTAGCTATTTCAGTGTTCAAAATGACATTGAACTAAGCCACAAACAAAATATCAGAGGTGAGATAAGACAAGACTAGGGTGACCAGATGCCACAGATTAAATATCGGGACGCGGGGGGGGGGGGAGCAGAGAAGAAAAAAGCCGGCGGCGGAGAAGGGAAAAAAAAACAAAAACGGCCGGAGCACCCCCCAGCCGAGCCGCGCTCCGGGCCCTTCCTGCAGCTCCCTGCCCAGCCGTTCCCGGGCTCCGTCGCCCCGGCCCCACAGCAGGGGCTGCTCCGCTCCACCCCGCCAGGGCTGGGACACTCGCCCCCGCAGCCCCGGACAGCCCCTCTCCAGCCGCGGGGAGCTCGGGGACCTGGGCAGGGGGCGAACCAGGTAGCCGGGCCCGGCCCCTCCCGGCACCTCCCGGCCCAGCCGTTCCCGGGCTCCGTCGCCCCGGCCCCACAGCAGGGGCTGCTCCGCTCCACCCCGCCAGGGCTGGGACACTCGCCCCCGCAGCCCCGGACAGCCCCTCTCCAGCCGCGGGGAGCTCGGGGACCTGGGCAGGGGGCGAACCAGGTAGCCGGGCCCGGCCCCTCCCGGCACCTCCCGGCCCAGCCGTTCCCGGGCTCCGTCGCCCCGGCCCCACAGCAGGGGCTGCTCCGCTCCACCCCGCCAGGGCTGGGACACTCGCCCCCGCAGCCCCGGACAGCCCCTCTCCAGCCGCGGGGAGCTCGGGGACCTGGGCAGGGGGCGAACCAGGTAGCCGGGCCCGGCCCCTCCCGGCACCTCCCGGCCCAGCCGTT